TTCGTTTATTTAACTGAACCCAGAAGTATTGGGTTCGTTTATTTAACTGAACCCGGAAGTATTGGGTTCGTTTATTTAACTGAACCCGGAAGTATTGGGTTCGGTTATTTAACTCCACCCGGAAAATCAGGTCCTGTTATTTAACTGCAAACCCGTATAATTTTAGATTTATTTATTCAACTCAACCCAGAGACATCAAAATACTTCCTTTTTTCAACTGAGGTCAAAATTTTATTTTTTTATTTTAACAGAGAAATATCGATATTGTTACAAAGTAGCATTTATAACTATTTCTAGATCTAGTCATTCTTAAAAAATTGCAGTTGAAATTTTGTCGATATCATTAAAAACAAAAAAGTTGCACAGCCTTGAAGTTTCTGAGGTCAGTCTGGAGGCTGAAACATTTAGAGGCTCACAAACCAGAGGTCACAGAGAACTTTAGTTTTTCATTTCCTTGTTCGTTCATCCGAATCTGAGATGGTGGCTTCCAAGGGGTGAGAGAGTTGAAAAAGAATGACCCCCTTCTTAACTTAAAACTCCATTTTCATTCATTAAATGTAAGTTTTTTATATTTTTTATTTTATATTTTTTGTTGGGCTATGTATTTTATTACTAGCTTGAGAACCCAGCGTTGCCCCGGGTATTCGTAGTTACTTCCGCCGCTTACCCGCGTTTGGTCGTAAATTACGATTTAAGCTATTTTTCCCTATAAAATTAGACCCATTAAATTTATAATCTTAAAACTAAGCTAAGAACATTCTTGTGGTTCCCCAGAGGTCCCCAATCAAATTTGAGGCAAATCGGTCAAGGGGTTCCTGAGTTATGATCGGACAAACAGAAATTACAACTTTAATTATAGAGATATCAAGAAATATACTTTAAAGTTTCTAAGTATATGAACGTAACAAACAAATATTTGACGGCTATCCGGACTTTAGTACGATCTTGGACAGTTGGTTTAAGCCTGCATTTATGTTTTAGATACTTTATTTTTATTTGATTAAAATTTGAACGTTAAAAAATTTGCTATAAATAAAGTTAAAACTTAAGTTCTGCTTGAATACATTCATTTAAAACAACTTTTGTAAATAAAAAGTTCAGGTTTCTGCCTCCCTCGCTCCACTTGCCTCAATGACCCCCCCCCCTCCCCATTTCAGAACACTGTAAAAAACAGAAAACCTGTCAATTAAACTTGATGCAGTGGGCCTAGTGCTTACGCTAGACCAAGTAAATCTTATCAAAGAAATAGATTCTTTGTCACACAATTAAATTTGAAAATCCCAATATCATTGAAACCTGATGGTGTAGCCCTATGATACTTCGAAGTTTAAAATAATTAGGGTCTACGACAATGAGTTTCAAAGATATAGGAATTAGAAAATCAGAGTTAGTGGCAAAGACTTAATTCTTTTACAAAATAAAGGATTCCAAACTCTGGATTAGGAAGACGACTTTTAGACTGAAGTTGTGACTTTAAATAGTCCAATGTACATACCGTGATGACCAGAAAACTCTGGAATAGGAAGATGACTTTTTAGCAATACTTAAGTGTATTTGATGTTGTTACAAAGAAAATGATTTTACTAGACTCTTATCAAATCACTAACTAAGTGATATGTGTGTGTTAACACTGTACAATTACTATTTCCCAGGCTCATTAGACTATTTAAAGTTAAAACTTGACTCAAAAAGTCGTCTTCCAATTCTGGAGTTTTCTGGTTATCATTGTAAGAAACAGAAATTGTGCAGTTTAAAAACTGCCTGGTTTGATTGAATAAGTTACTGTCAAAACTATTTGGTTAGTAATGCATCAAATAAGTATTATAGATGAAGGAACTTATTTAATAACTAATAATAATAAAAGATATATTATACAAGGTACAATAAAATATATCCCTGTCTATCAATCTATATATCTTTCTAACTATCTATCTATCTTTCTATCTATCTATCTATCTATCTATCTATCTATCTATCTATCTATCTATCTATCTATCTTTATAACTATCTATCTATCTATTTATCTATCTTTACATCTATCTATCTATCTATCTATCTATCTATCTATCTATCTATCTATCTATCTATCTATCTATCTATCTATCTATCTATCTATCTATCTATCTATCTATCTATCTATCTATCTATCTATCTATCTATCTATCTATCTATCTATCTATCTATCTATCTATCTATCTATCTATCTATCTATCTATCTATCTATCTATCTATCTATCTATCTATCTATCTATCTATCTATCTATCTATCTATCTATCTATCTATCTATCTATCTATCTATCTATCTATCTATCTATCTATCTATCTATCTATCTATCTATCTATCTATCTATCTATCTATCTANCTTTAAAATCTACGCATAGTCCCTTAATCTAGATAATATAAACTCTTTAAAATCTGCGCATAGTCCCTTAATCTAGATAATATAAACTCTTTAAAATCTACGCATAGTCCCTGAATCTAGATAATATAAACACTTTAAAATCTACGCATAGTCCCTTAATCTAGATAATATAAACTCTTTAAAATCTACGCATAGTCCCTGTATCTAGATAATATAAACTCTTTAAAATCTGTGCATAGTCCCTGAATCTAGATAATATAAACTCTTTAATATCTGCGCATAGTCCCTGAATCTAGATAATATGAACTCTTTAAAATCTGCGCATAGTCCCTTAATCTAGATGATATAAACTCTTGCGAACCCAGCCGCTGTTTAGCATTATGAAGTAAGTTGTAAAAAGCTCATATCTTTATATTATAGAATAATCAAATCAAATCATTTATTGAATAAAATCAATCATTACAAATTAGGTAAAAAATGTATAATAAGGGGTTTTATTTAGGCAGAAAAAAGGATGCTTAAGATATTCTTAAAAAATCCTAGTATAGAAAAAAATCATTTGCAGACTAAAATACGAATCTGAAGATAAATGTAAAAACATGCAATTTCTAAATTATCTATCTGAGCTGAAAACTTTAGAATGGCGGATATTGAGATCAATGCTTGATCTCCTCTTTTTCTTAATCTCCAGATTAAATAATGCTTGTTCTCCTTCTTGTATAATCTCCAGATTAATTAACCGATCGGGATTAAGAATATATTCCATTCTAAAGTTTTCAGGTCCGAGCAAATTTTAGATTAGTTTAATTTTTATAATTTTTACATTTTTCAAAAACATATGTTTTCCTGTATACTTTTTTATTGTTAAAAATACAGGATAACCCACAAAGGATAAGACTTCAGAGACGATTGTACAGAATTTGTTTAGTCCGTTTCAAACTAACACAAGGGGTTCTTTGCAGACCAAAACTGGCTTATTTATGATGTTAATCATTAAATACTAAATTGAAAACAGAAACCAAAATTCAAGCTTTAAATTGTCATATTTTAAGCTTTTTGGGTCGTCTTTACAGTCTCATCCTTGTGGGCAACCCTGTTTATATAAAAGTCTGGATAAAAGGGAGTGTTCGCGAAAAATGAATTCTGATTAGATTATGAATAGCGGTCCGCTTTCAAGGCTGTAGAACTTTATCTCTACTTTAATTATGTTTCGTTTCATACTTTCTCATGTATTTTCACACAAATTGTATTCTTGCTGGCGCTCTATACTTCTGATTTATAACATTTTGAATACAATCAGTCATTTTTTCAAGCCAAACAAAACTTAATGGAATTCGGTTTGGGCTTTAGATTATGTTCAATTTCCCCATGGACTCGAAACCCTGTGATCTTGACTCGAAACCCTGGGATCTTGACTCGAAACCCTGGGATCTTGACTTGAAACCCTGAGATCTTGACTTAAAACCCTGGGATCTTGACTTGAAACCCTGGGATCTTGACTCGAAACCCTAAGATCTTGACTTGAAACCCTAAGATCTTGACTTGAAACCCTAAAATCTTGACTTGAAACACTAGGATCTCGACTTAAAACCCTGGGATCTTGACTTGAAACCCTAAGATCTTGACTTAAAACCCTAAGATCTTGACTTGAAACCCTGGGATCTTGACTCAAAACCCTGGGATCTTGACTTGAAACCCTAAGATCTTGACTTGAAACCCTGGGATCTTGACTTAAAACCCTAAGATCTTGACTTAAAACCCTGGGATCTTGACTTGAAACCCTGAGATCTTGACTTGAAACCCTAAGATCTTGACTTGAAACCCTAANTTTATTAGTTTTAAAACCACTGTTAAAGTTTATTAGTTTTAAAACCACTGTTAAAGTTTATTAGTTTTAAAACCACTGTTAAAGTTTATTAGTTTTAAAACCACTGTTAAAGTTTATTAGTTTTAAAACCACTGTTAAAGTTTATTAGTTTTAAAACCACTGTTAAAGTTTATTAGTTTTAAAACCACTGTTAAAGTTTATTAGTTTTAAAACCACTGTTAAAGTTTATTAGTTTTAAAACCACTGTTAAAGTTTATTAGTTTTAAAACCACTGTTAAAGTTTATTAGTTTTAAAACCACTGTTAAAGTTTATTAGTTTTAAAACCACTGTTAAAGTTTATTAGTTTTAAAACCACTGTTAAAGTTTATTAGTTTTAAAACCACTGTTAAAGTTTATTAGTTTTAAAACCACTGTTAAAGTTTATTAGTTTTAAAACCACTGTTAAAGTTTATTAGTTTTAAAACCACTGTTAAAGTTTATTAGTTTTAAAACCACTGTTAAAGTTTATTAGTTTTAAAACCACTGTTAAAGTTTATTAGTTTTAACTAACAATTTGTGAGTTGCTCTTCATACAGTAAACTAAGCTCACACTGGTTAGAAATATCTAATCTTTAATCTCAAAATAAATATTTTAAGAAATAAATAATTTTTAATTTTACCTTCAATGAATGGAGATTATCTAGACCCTGAAATGCTTGTTGGGCAATGGAAAGTATATCCTCCCCCCACCCCTCCCCTCCCGACTCTAGAACCAGTTCATCTAAACCACTCAACCCTATGCCCAGCCAGATATAAACATTAAAATGCAAAAAGTGTGAAATGGTTTAATTATAAGAGGTCAGGAATCAGGATATTACTATGGCGTTGTTTGATTTTAAAGATGGCGACTAAAAAGACATAATAAAATTTTACAAAATCGCCGCCACCTTGCACTCAAAAAGATTGTATTTGTTGAGAGTGTGTGTGTTTGTGGTCCCAGCTGAATAAATTTCCTGTTTTATGATTTAGAATTGGGATTTATGATATCTGCAATTCCTGAAAATGCGTGTGGCTCCACAGATCTCAGCCGGCATTCGTGGATTTTTAGCTTCCCCAGCCCGGGTAGGTGGCCAAACTGGTTTGAGTTTAAGCTGGAGAAAACCGGTTTTCCCGTTCCCGCATTTTCGTCTTGTGTACACTCAACCAGCAGCTCACTGGCCTGGGTGAGGCTAGATGCGGAAAAATCCAGACTGGAGTTTTGGTTTCCCAAGACTGGGATTGAGCATTGCAAAGCTCCAGTTTCTGGAGCAAAGGAACATTTCCTGCTAGAGGAGCAGACAGTAAAATGGAGGAAAAACGTAAAGATCACTGCAATTATAACATTTGTCACTGTTTTCCCCGCCATTTTGATTTTTTTCTTCACTTTTCACCGTCAGATTCACTTCCCATTCTCACTGTCGTCATTCATAAATTTTTGCATCTGAAAAAAAACATTTTAAAAAATAAAGTAATCCAATTATTTATTTTTAAGATATCGTAATATTTTAAGACAATTAATCTAGAAAAAGTTTGTTGACATGTTCTGTTTGCGGTCCATAACACCGCTAATGACGGTCGGGAGTTAATTGCCCAAATTCTAATTTTCTTGCCTTGGCCTCAAAACATACTTGGAGGATAGAGGAATATATAAAAACAATGGAATCGGGGAAAACAACAAACATTATTTAGAAACAAGCATTAAACACATTTATAAATAACACCTTTTATATGAATGTTAATCCTCGGATTTTTATCATAATAAACTCTATTTATAAAACTATCATAAATTGATGGTTTTGGTTTTATTTTACAACTAGCTAAAGGGCCCGGCGTTGCCCGTGGAAAAAAATAAAACTTTTAAAAGAAAACTTCCGATTTGTTTACCCTATAACACACTACGGCCACCCCTGAGTTTCCACAAAAAAATCAGACCAATCTGTTCAGCCGTTTGGCCGGCTATAGGCAACATATATATACGAATGTCTTGTTTTATTATATTATAGATATAATTGGTGTCTCCTTAGTTTGGGTCAATCAAAAGCAATGCATAAAAAAAAACATACTAAACCGATTCTTTTCATATATCAAATATTTTTTTTTGTTAAATTTATGTATTATGAACTTTCAGTATGTATTAAAATTAAATTTAAACCTTTTTTATATTTCTTTCTTTTGATTTAAAAAAGTATCATTGATTTGGATAGTAATTATTTCATTAGAACTGAAGAGTAAAGAACCTGTAAAATCTTTCCCTGGGATGAAAGTTTCCCTGTATGATAATTGAAGGACTGCAGTATGGTTTTGGTGAATTATATTGGCGTACTAAGCCTAGGGGTGTCAGAAATATTTTTTTTGCATATTTTTGCAAAAAATTTGGAAAATGGCATATGCATATTGTGGTTTAAACTATTAACAACGCAAAATTTGAAAAGATATGCAATCAAAATGTAAGCAAAAATTAAGGAAAACTGATGTGTGCAATTGTCTTGAAACATTAAATTTTTTTGTGAGATTTTGTTGTTATCAAATGAACTGTAAATACTAAATAGAAAAATTAGAACTACAAAAAAAAAAACTAGTGCAATCAGAGAAAAAAAGTAATCCCATTAGATTTATAATTTCACAATTTACATAAAGATTTTGCAGCAATCGAGTAAATGGCATGAAAATTAACAAAAAGTTAACTATTTTCTTTGTAAAAATTCTTAATTTTGCAGCATCTGCATCTCATCTAATAAATATGGACTAAATAAAGTTCATAGAAAAAAAACTACAGAATCAAAATCTACAAAAACAAATAAATTTAAAAGAAAACAATGTGAGAAAGATTGATGATTATTTTATAATGTTTTTTCTTCTAGTTCTTGACTATTTGCTTCACATATGCTGGAGTTAGTTCTTCGGTATCAAAATGTGTCACCAACTTATCTTAATCTATCAATACTTCTTTTTTAACTCAATATTAGTTTAAAACATGAAAATTATAAAATAATCATAAAAAATGAGTTTTCTACAATTAAATTAGATTTTAAAAGTCTAAGAAAAGGGAGACTTCAGAGATTATGAAATATCAACTATATACTACGAATATACGAATATACGAATATACTAATATACGAATATACGAATATACGAATATAATAATATATGAATATACGAATATACGAATATACGAATATACGAATATACGAATATACGAATATACGAATATACGAATATACGAATATACTAATATACGAATATACGAATATACAAATATAATAATATATGAATATACGAATATACGAATATACGAATATACGAATATACGAATATACGAATATACGAATATAAGAATATACGAATATACGAATATATGAATATACGAATATAATAATATACGAATATACGAATATACAAATATACAAATATACGAATATACGAATATACGAATATACGAATATACGAATATACGAATATAAGAATATACGAATATACGAATATACGAATATACGAATATACGAATATACGAATATACAAATATAAGAATATACGAATATACGAATATACGAATATATGAATATACAAATATACAAATATGACGAATATACGAATATACGAATATACGAATATACGAATATACAAATATAAGAATATACGAATATACGAATATACGAATATATGAATATACAAATATACAAATATGTGAATATACAAATATACAAATAAACAAATATGCAAATATATGAATATACGAATATACGAATATACGAAAATAAGAATATACGAATATACAAATATACGAATATACGAATATACGAATATAAGAATATACGAATATACAAATATACAAATATACGAATATACGAATATACAAATATTTGAATATACGAATATACAAATATACGAATATAAAAATATACAAATATACGAGTATACAAATATACGAATATACAAATATACAAATATACAAATATACGAATATACGAATATACGAATATAAGAATATAAGAACATACGAATATACGAATATACGAATATACGAATATTTCAAATATGTGAATATACAAATATACAAATAAACAAATATGCAAATATATGAATATACGAATATACGAATATACAAATATTTGAATATACGAATATACAAATATACGAATATACGAATATACAAATATACGAATATACAAATATACAAATATACGAATATACGAATATACGAATATACGAATATACGAATATACGAATATACGAATATACGAATATACAAATATACGAATATACGAATATACGAATATACGAATATCCTAATACGTCGAAAAAAATGGATGATGTTGTAATATCTGCATGATAATTTGGAATTAAATTGATTTTTTACGATCTGAGTTGAATATTGCAACTGTCTGAATTTGTATGGACGCTACGTTCTTTGGTTTGAGTCGTTTTTAACAATTGTTTCCTCATAGACGCAACAGATAGAAATAAGATTAGCAGCGATCACCAACGAATATTTTTCGACGTAAGCCTATATACCCCCTAGAGAACACTCCCTTTAAGCTTGTTTCTTCTATCGCCTAATCATACAAAAATTAATATTTAAAAGAAAAGAAGGATTTATAGAGTTTAATGCAGTCATTATCGACTTATTTTTAAAGGTAGCCTTATTAAAAAAATTGTATTTTATGTTATAAATTACATTAAGACATTCAGTAAAAATTGAAAATTTTGGCAAATCATTGCTTATAATCAAATCAAATCATTTATTGAATAAAATCAATCAATACAAATTAGGTAAAAATGTAAAATAAGGGGGTTTAGGCACAAAAAAAGGATGTTTAAGATATTATTGAAAAATCCTAATTTAGAAAAAAATCATTTGCGGACTAAAATACGAATCTAAAGATAAATGTGAAACATGCAATTTCTTAATTATCTAATCTGAGCTGAAAACTTTAGAATGGCGGATATTGAGATCAATGCTTGATCTCCTCTTTTTCTTAATCTCCAGATTAAATAATGCTTGTTCTCCTCTTGTATAATCTCCAGATTAATTAACCGATCGGGATTAAGTTTTCAGGTCTGAGCCAATTTTAGATTAGTTTAATTTTTACATTTTTCAAAAACATATGTTTTCCTGTATACTTTTTTATTGTTAAAAATACAGGGTTACTCACAAAGGATGAGACTTCAGAGACGATTGTACGGAATTTGTTTAGTCCGTTTTAAACTAACACAAGGGGTTCTTTGCAGACCAAAACTGGCTTATTTATGATTCTAATCATTAAATACTAAATTGAAAACAGAAACCAAAAGTTAAGCTTTAAATTGTCATATTTTAAGCGTTTTGGGTCGTCTTTACAGTCTCATCCTTGTGGGCAACCCTGTTTATATAAAAGTCTGGATAAAAGGGAGTGTTCGCAAAAAATGAAAACTGATTAGATTATGAATAGCAGTCCGCTTAAAGTCCACCAATTTCCGAACACATATTTCAAGTTTGTAGAACTTTATTCCTACTTTAATTACGTTTCGTTTCATACTTTCTCATGTATTTTCACACAAATTGTATTCTTGCTGGCGCTCTATACTTCTGATTTATAACATTTTGAATACAATCAGTCATTTTTTCAAGCCAAACAAAACTTAACGGTATTCGGTTTGGGCTTTAAATTATGTTCAATTTCCCCATGGACTCGAAACCCTGGGATCTCGACTCGAAACCCTTGGATCTTGACTTGAAACCCTTGGATCTTGACTTGAAACCCTGGGATCTTGACTT